ATAGTTCCTGAGCCTCTGATAATGAGGAAGGAAGTAGAGTGGTCGGGGTGGAAAGTCGAGTTTGACTCGAAGTTGCCGCCATTTTGACGAATGAGATGAAAGAAAGAAATGAAGGGAGAAAACGGACTTCAACAAAAATTTGTTGAACCCCGTGCCGGGAACCAAATAAATGTACACAATGAATCAGTACGTACATCAGAGCAGCTCTCCGTGAAATGGAAGCTCGTTCTGTGACTAGATGATGAAAAGATTGTGAATTAAAATTTCGAAATGTGATACGAATACCGAAAAAGTATTCAATTCAAATTGAGCGCTAAACTGTTACGATCCGTAGCAGGCATGTGAATAAATTGATAAGATGAGCGCTGGAAACCCATTTGGGGGCATCCAAATTGATTGGAAAGCACGGAGAAGTAGAGATCCAAACCCATTGATTTACATTAAAAGGAGATATAGTCTGGTCAAATCAATCTAATAACAGATTGGGTATCCTTTTCCTGCACAAAACTACGAATGACCGAGGACGGTCAAATTCTTTAGTTTGGGGGGGATGACATGCCTAAATTTTGGCTAGACGTCTATGCTGTGAATTGTGACATTTTCACATATAGATTTGTATCAAGAGGACTGTAATTGAGACCCAGATTGACAGTCAAAGTTAATACTGAATCAGTCTAATAAGTTGAAGGGACCATATACCCATACTACCATAAGTTGGTTAGTTTACCCATCCCCAATACTACCTTCGGATAACAGTCTACCTGTTTGTCAAGCAGGATTATACCAGACTTGGACTACATCCGAAGGATGACCATTCATGTATGACATACCAAGGGTATTCTTATTGGACCTTACACTGGCAGGAGTTTGGAAGAACTTACTCAAGTGACCATGAGCCGAGGATTGACTCGAAATGACTTTCTAGAACTCAGGAATTATCAAATACTCCTTCTAGAATGAATCAGATTGATAGGATTAGAATCGAGGAGAGCTGATTTGCCTCCAGACGAGGTGACAAACGATCGAAGTAAGTGTTGAACAGCAATGACAGTTGAACACCATTCAAGTCATTCTCCAAAACAATTAAATTAAATGAATAATGAAGTACCTACCTATGTTTGGAGGTATACTTGAATCTTGGAACCATTGTGGACCAAATAAAGACATGAAGATTCAAATTAAATAAATATCTGACCAATTGTAGAAGTTTCCTTGCGGTTCCGAACATTTATTGTATTAAATTAATTGTACTGTGCAACTCTATATTCTGTATGTATAAATAGCGATCCGATGTATCTGGAATACAAGTGATTTTGGGATGACGCTGCAGTGCTAATCCGTAAAAAGGAAAGACACACTCCCGCCAGACTGAAACCTCTTTGCTAGCAGCCATTCGGGCCCGGCACTTGTGAGTATAGGAACGTCGTGTTCTGCTCCTTGTGACTGCGAGAAGTATATCCAGTTGTTGGGTATTCTTCGAACTTAGGATCAGTTGTTGGTCTTAAGGGCAAATCACACTGTGTGGTTGTGCCAGCACATAGTTCTAGCCCTCCGTAGGGGTCTGTGTGTTTCGGTTTAATTTACTTTGATTCAAACCCCCAATTCTTGATATACCCATATCAATACAATCAAAGCACAAACCGTGCTGAATCTACCTTGATCAAAGGAATATATCGAATCCTTAGAACAATTCAAATTGATTGATTAAAGCTTCTTACTTAGCTCTCAAAGCTTTGCGGAACCTTTGCCAATGCTACCCCTTGCTATTAAATAAATTTGATAGCAGTGAACTTGCATATTGTGTATTAGATTGGTTGGTTGGAGTGCCCATTAGATTCCTTCCTTTCTCTTTCACACAAAAACGAGGCAAGCTTGTTAGCGGAGCAGTCTATACTGGCAGCAGGTGTTTCAGAATCGGGCGGGACTGGGGAGGACGTGGTGTCTATGGATCCTGCAAGGACAACCTTATCGGTAGGCTGTCAGTGCAGTAATGGATCTTGACCTAGTGTCACGAAGCGGCAGAGGCGGAGTGACTAACAGAGCAAGAAAGCGGAGTGACTAAGCAAGGCAGCGAGGCGGAGCGATTAAGCGGAGCAGAGGCAGACTGGTCCCAGATAATGACAGAGAGGTCAAGATAAGGGACCAGGCTGTGGAGGGTTGGCTATATATACATAATCCGGTCTGCGAGAAACAACGATGTAATACTGTACAGTTCAGGGGCAAGGAAGGTGGCGGAAGCCGGTAGAAAGAGAAGATGGGTCAGGTGGATCAGTAATTGATGGGGGTTTGACAGTGATGGGATGATGTATCGTACAAGTAAAGGCATCGAGACGGTGAGAAAAGGAAAATGATAGGGGCTGCGTACTTTATGACAGTATCCTCCCAGTTGGGTGTATTCACAGCTGGACTCTTAAGGAGGCTAGAGAGGGAGCTTCTTTGTCTCAGTGGAGGATTAATGGACTGTACGGGAGGAGTAAGTAACCTCCTTGACAATGTCCTAGACTGTTCAGATACTGCAGGTGATACCCCCCTCTCCAGAAATTTCTCCTTTTGTCTGTCAAGCCCATGCCTCGGGCCTCCATTCCGCCGCTCGGTATTCCGAAGATCCACCTTTATTGTAATCTTTTCCTTATTGTTCTTTCTCGCTACACATACCCTTTCATTCTAGTCCCTCCTTATTGTCTTTTACTTTACCCTGCAGGACTACACGTATAACTCCTAGTAGCTAGTCTGGCGCTCCGCACCGTTGCGCCGCTCCGTAGATATAAATACTGCTTGTACGCTACTGTAGTTCCTCAGTTTAATTATCGACTTAGATTCCCTCTTCCACTCTGTGCTCTCTAAGTCTTCAGGCTCAACGCCTTGAAGTACTCTCTACGCTACCTTAGGACTAGACGTCCTCTGGCTCGCTCCTCGTCACCGGCGATACCGCCGCTCCGACTTGGCTGCTTCTCAGTTCCTCCCTTCTCTACTCTCGATCTCCGGGGACTAACGGCGTAACGGCGGTGTTGTTAATAACTTCACTACTGTCCCACTCGTCTTCTGCACTTAGACACCTTGTGGCTTTGGCACGGTTACACGGTGTACATGATCTTAACATTGTCGTACTATAAGGGGATCTGTATCTTCCCCTTGTAGTCTTTCTATAGTGGCTACTTGACCGCTAACTCTTCCTCCTGCATTCAAGGCTGATTCCATGTCTAACTGTGATGCTGGCCCAGGGGGAGGTCCTCTCGCTCCCCAGGTAGGGGAATAGGTGAAACCTCCCATTGGACTACTGGCAGGTTGAGCATATCCCATGGAGGCATACCTCCATTGTGGTGGCCCCATAGCTGTTCCTGTGGGTCCAGGATCCACTGAAGGAGGTTCCCAAGCCACAGGTTGATGTTCTTCAGGGGTCCTTATGTCATTAGAGGGTTTGTCCCTGAACAACTGCTCTGGGATGGACATCAGGTGTTGACCAGCTACCACTGTGATGGCAGTAGAACTGGCAGCCTGGTTTGACTTTTGAGCTTGTGTCATGTTTCCACGAGATAAGGTGCTCTTTTGTTTTCTTGATTTGAGTTTGGAACTAGAAGGTCATTCCATTGACATTGCAGACATTTCATTGCAATGAGTCCATTCAGTGATGGGAGAGCTTGGTATAATGTAAGACCTGGGTCAGAAATGGTCTTAAGGGTGGATTTGGTATGAGAGGTTTATGTTGTAGTGTGCTAGGAGCAAGCTGGAGCTCAAAGGGGGCTACAGGAACCGCGACTGAGGACAGGAATGACCTAGTAGTAGTTCTGGTTGCAAGACGTGACCCTTGAAGGGGTTTCTAGAAGGTCCAGGGAGGTCCCTAGGATGCTAACGGAGGAAGGTGAAGGTAACCAGAACTAGGAGACATAGAAGCATTGTGTAGTATAGCTTGTGGTAGCTAGGAATATCAATGTAGGATCATTATAGCTAGTAGATGATGGGAGGTTCAGACGTGAAAGCTCCCAATATAGTGTGAGCCTGGGAAAAAGGTCCCGGGAGATGGAGGTGACAGTTGACATCCCCAAGCGGTGAAGGTGGTAATGGAGGAGCAGCACTTGGTTGGATGCAAGGGGAAGCTCCAACATTACCTAGATCAAGGTCCCAGAGCTTGTGGAGCAATTAGGGAGCTTGAGGAGAATTAGGGGAGGTTGGGAAGCTTTAGTATTGGTTGAGGGAGGTCGAAGACTCACTCAGATTGCTTAGATGTGAAGTGAAAGTGTATATTGGATTGCGTGGACAATTGATGAGACGAGAAACAGAGTTAGAGAAAATGAGATAGAGAAAGAGTAAAGAGAATTCCATATAGGTAGCAGGTACAAAGGGACAGGGACTGGACCTATGTAAAGGGTGTGTGTTCAAAATATACCAAGCTAGGGTTTAGGATACTACGGGACTGCTTAAATAGGTACAGGGAAGTTAACTACAGAACAGTGCATAACTAGGCAATTGAGATTGTTTACTAATGGAGTTAGGGTGTTGTACATAGTTGGGGAGGTCACTAGTCTCTAAGGTGGTGACGCTGTGTCCTGGGAGCTGCTGTGGTTACCAACGAGTGGGGGTATAAGGAGGTAGTGTAAGGAATGGAGGTATGAAGAGGTAGTGTGGTTTGAGGGAGGTTGCTGGGGAGCTGCTGATGAGCTTGGGGGTAGTTGAGGAGCTGCTGGGGGGCTTGGGGATAATGCAAAGTGGGTCAAGGCATGACAGAATGTATTTATATTCAAATTCTTGCTACTGCGTCATACAAGAGCCTCAGACAAGAGGGGTAAGTACACTGATTTGGAAGAGGGAATGCTACTAATTCGGAAAGAGTGATCGGCCCCATGGTACGGAGAGGCCAAGTGGAACGGGGGCATTTCGTAGGTCAGGGTTTTACTGATATTGCTTGGTACATTTTGATCACACACCCTTTGGGTCTACCTTATATAATCAAAGTGACCGGACCGCCCGTAACACATCCGATTCGGACCATTTTGCTTCTTGTAACGACAACAGCGCTGGCGGTGGAGACTGTGCGGTGTACAGGACAGCAGAGGACCGCGTTTCCACTGAACTCAACATCGAGCGAACGCAACGATCATCAGTTATTTATACCCCAACAATCAGATCAATTCATAATTCTTCCTGCTTCTTATACTTAGATTTTTAACAGGTAAGCCAGCTCTCATTGAAGAAACACAATGAGCTGAGTTTTATCGCAGTCAGCTTGAACTATTTCATTCTATCGTTTGTCATTTTGCACGAGAAGAAAGAGAGCGATGGCTGATAGTTTTAACGGACCAGGTGAGTGGTTTCAATGTTTCTTGTATTGCATTTCTCGTGTGATGAACAAAAATCCTCCTTGTTTTTCACAATGCAAATCTGCCGTCCATCTGTCCCTTTTGAACATTATATTCATATCTCAACCTTTTACTCCCCTGCAACATCATAACTAATCAGCCTTGGCTCCACCAGCATCGACTAAGAATCAAAGCCAAACGTCAAGTCCTACTCTTACTTTGTCCATCGGAATTGGCAATACATCACCTGTCCCAGGCTTTCCCTCACCATCATCGAGCTTTGTTCCTCCACCGGTGGTAACTCCAATTGAATTCGCTACTGTAAAAGACAAGCGAAAGGACGAGAATTCACGAAAGAACTCCAAAACTGGACTTGTGAACGTTGCCACAAAATCCAAGAGTCAATTAGATACCAAACCGAACACTTCTGCATCTGCAGTTGATCCAAATTCCATAATCTCACCCACGACACCGACCCCAAATGGCCTGCATCGTCAAAGGAGTTTTCCAAATTCTGAATCGTTTTCGGAGGTAGCGGCCACAGTTATCGAATTACCGACGGAATTGCCAACTGACGATGAAACGCACAATTCCTCATCGAATTCGGCGGCGAAAGCTTTCGGTGCGGCAGCTTCACGGGATACCCAGTCTCCTATCATTCCTACACCACCTTTCTCAAAACAATCCTTGAATGCATCTCATTCTCTACCGAAAACCCCAGTCAGAACACCATCAAATCCACCAACTCCATCTAGTCCTGGTTTCCACTTCCCACCGTCAGCATCATCAAGGAAACCGAATCGGGACTCAACGATGTCAAATTTTTCCACCTCATCCGCAGCATCTACTCGTTCGACTACTTCCTTAAAAAGCAATAGACCGGCTCCACCAAGTCCCGCACTGTCCAGACGGACATCCGGCACTGGTGTCGGTGCTGCCACTTCACCTATAGCCAAACGGTTTTCTGCTGGACCAGGAGGAATACCAGCATTCGGAGTAGTAGAACGAAGTCATTCTTTACGCACCAGTCCTACGGTTTCCCGCAATCATTCCAATAGTCCCAAAGCAGCTTTACCGATGAGCTCCCATCCACATCGTTTTTCTTCTCCCGCCTTCCGACGTGATTCATCGACAATGTCCGTGCCTGCGCCACTACCGTTAACACCGGTTCCGGGGAGCGCAACTTTACCACCTGCTTCAGCTTCCCTGCTTTCTGGCGATCTCTCCAGCGCTGGTCTTTCTAGTGCAGGCTTATCCAGTGCAGCACTTCGGACGGCAACGACCGCGTCGACCGCGCTCACCAAAGGCAAGGGTACAGGTACCGCTTCCCAGATGCGTAGACCTATCCGAATTCGAGATTACGCCTATGTCCCTAGAGAAGATGAATCTTTGGATGCAGATGCACGCCCACTCTGGGAAAACGACCCTCAATTTCTTGGTTTTGGGGCAGACGGGAAAGGTTTACATGTACCTACGCCTAATAGGGTGAAGGTTCTGAACAAAGCTCTTTTGACCGCCACGAACCTGAGTACAATATCTTCTAATCTGAATACGGCATATACTATGTGGAAAACGTCATATAAGAGAGATCGGAAGGAGAGGAAAGCGGCAGTGAAGCGTCGAGCCAAGGAAACGAAGAGAGAAAGGGCGCAGGCCAGGTATAGTATGAACAGTGTCCGGAGTGTGGGTAGCACGAGCAGTACGGCTTCATCTGTGTCTTCAACTAGTAGTCGATCGGAGGTGTCTGAAGTGGATGAAAGGGAAGATGATGATGAGGACGATGGGATGGGCGGGTGGGCTGGATTCAGGTTTGGATTGGCCAGACTGAGTTGGGGTTTTGGCAACTCTGGTGCTTCTGGTTCGACAGGAACGTCCGTCTCTGCGTCTACGCCCGCCTCTAAAATTGCCACAAACACCCCAAACGAACCCTCGGCTTCAAATACTTCCAACAATTCTAATTCCGGTCCCAGTTCCAATGCATTTCCTTCCCGTTTAGATCTCGACCGTAACTTCGGTATCGACGCCACCTCTTCTGAATCTGGTGATGAATCGTCCAATAATTCCACTGATACTGAAGGCGAGCAGTTTCATGACGCACCCTCCTCCCATCTCCGGCACGCTGATCTTGATTTTGGACTCGACCTAGAAGGCCGTGGGATTGACTCGCCTTCGCCTCTGGACTATGATCGTGTATATGGTTACGATGAAGATGCTTATGGCCAAATACCCAACTCAGCATTCCCATCAGCATCACCGTATCCTGGCTCGGGTGATGGCTATGGATACGAGGACGACTCGCTCGATTCGATTGGAGAAGGGGAACTTATACCGGGTCAGTACCGCGCTTTGTATTCCTTCGAGCCTGAAGGTCCTTCAGAAATGAAGCTGACAGAAGGCGAGATCGTGATGGTCGTTGGGCGAGGTGGTGGTGGTGGATGGGCGGTTGTGGTGGACAAGTACACTGAACATTCTCCGCGGGATGTTGAACCTGGTGGTACGACTAATCCGAATGTGACAAGCAAGTATGCTCTTGTCCCCGAGAGCTACTTGGAACTCATCCAGCCTGATGAAGTGGCCGATAGAGAAGTGAAAGAAGAAAAGGGAACGGTGACGACGCCGGAAGTAAGACAGTAGGAGAACGTGAAATGAGGTGACCCATGTTCTGTTGCATGTGTATTGGTCCCGACAATTTTTCTTGGTTTTCATCATGCTTATTCCTCATGCACTTAACAGAATATCTATCAGAACACTTGACTACACTCAGCCTGCACCCGTCGTTTTCCTCAATTTTCATTTTGTGCTTTTGTCATGGTTTTAGCTCAAAATTTTCTTCCTGCGCTGTTCAAATGAAGTACATATATATTTATCTATGTATCTGTATGTGCATACTGCTCTTGTGGATCAAGGTGTAGATGAGTACATAGTATGTACCTAATACAATGTGGTCTATATCCTAGCAGAGAATTGGAGCGTGAACGACTGTAATGACTGCAGTGATTGCGTCCGTCACTAAAGATCTAGCGTCTGGCCTCAATCATGCATTATTTGGATTTCGGAAATTGTGGCTAATTCTGCTCAGATTTGTTTGTACATTGGTTGAGTTACGACTGGACTACAATTGCCGTATGATACATAACTTCAATAACTCAAAATTCGATGACTACCTTCAAACAGTCGTGAGCTTCTGCAGCACCAAAGATACTGTATGCCTTTTCAATATCTTTGAAGGCAAAAGTGTGCGTAGCAAACTTTTCAGGTAGAATCTTTCCGGATTCGACCAGCTTAATCAACATGGGGGTAGACGAAGCGTCGACGAGTCGAGTGGTGATCGCTAGAAGGAAAGTGAAGGTTTAAAAAAATCAATATGTCGGCAGCACCATCACAAAATGACTGGTACTCACTGATGTTTTTGTCCCACAGTGTCTCCAGGTGCAAATCAACTTTTGTTCCATGCACACCCAAATTCGCAATTGTTCCCCCTACTGCAACAAGTTTTTGACAAAGCTCAAAGGTAGCGGGGATACCCACTGCTTCGAGGGCTGCATCCACACCGCGACCACCCGTAATTTTCATGACCTGTTCGACAACATTAGGTCCTGAGACGACGGTGTGAGTGGCACCCAAAGATCGAGCGGTGGCAAGTCTTTTCTCGTTCAAGTCGATCATGATAATTTGGAGAGGAGAGTACAGCTGGCTGGTAATCAATGCGCCGAGACCGACTGGTCCACTTCCAACTATGGCTACAGTCGAGCCGAGCTTAATTTTGCCTTGCTGCACGGAATATGAGAAACGATGGATAATTTGAGCTTGTTGGACTTACCAAAACTCCACATTCGTAGCCGGTCGGGACAGTATCGCTGAGCATCAGCTGCGCATTGTCGCTTGCGCTCTCGACTGCCAGGTGAAGTGAACCATCTGCATGGGGAATACGTGCGTACTCTGCTTGGGTACCGTCGATGGTGTTGCCAAGAGCCCATCCTCCGTCTAATTTGTTTCATGAGTTACTTAAGCGTAACAAATAGCATCAGATAGCGAGCATACTGGTACAGTGGGAAGGCATGCCTCGGCGGCAGTTTGCGCAGGTTGTGCATGAAGTTATACAGGAGACGATTACTTTGTCGCCTGGCTTAAAAAGGCACACATTATCGCCGATTTGCTCAACGACAGCGACGCCTTCGTGTCCGAGGATTCTGCCAGTGTCGCAAGTCCTAAAAAAAAGCAAGATAGGAGTATAGATACAAATGAGAGAATATTTAGTTATACATACGCTACATCTCCTTTGAAAATGTGCAGGTCCGTGCCTAACGTATCCAGCAACTGAATTATATGCCATAAGAAAGGAAAGATTTAGAAAAACGCACCACAGATGGTAGTTTTAACCATCTTCACGATAGCATCGGTGGGTTTGAGGATGGTGGGTTTGGGTCGATCTTCCAGCCTAGGTTGACCTTTCGCTGCATACACGAGCGCTTTCATTGTCGCCATTGCTGCGGTTGAAGTTGATAGCCAAGCTCGTTGCCGGTGGAAAAGGTTATTAGGAGATGTGGCACTTGCACCGGCCGTTATCCGCATAGAAGATTGGATTCTTGTCAGAAAGCCAGCATGAACCGGAACTCGAATGCAGAGCATCTTAAGCTTAAAACGCGCTTCAGGTTGATGGATGTAATCCGAGGATAGAGCCTGATAGAACAGTAGGCCCGCCGACGGCCGAATTTCCGTTTTCCGAAGCTGATGGCCCATGGGGGCACTGTCACTAGCTCTCCATTCAATTCACCTAGCTTCTTTCTTTTTTTTCTTGTTACCGGTTCAACGAGGTTGGAAGGCGACATATTACGGTGGACAACGCTCCAAGGGAATTCAGGTAACAATTTCCCTCCTTGAGCTCAATTGAATCTATGATTGAACAAATCAGACAGATTCATTTGATCTTGTGTTGAAAGGCAGGATCCTTCAAGTGGCAGCAATATTTGATCGTTGACTGAAATTCACTGGAAGGTAAGTAAAACCATACTCGAATATCATAAAATCTGAAGGAGTCACAAGCGTGTTTTAATTAGAAGCATTCTTTCGGACAAAGAATCGACATGGCTGCTCCTCGTGCTTTACCGACTCCTCCTTCACTGCCTGCCACGCCTCCTCCACCGTCTGCTACACCTCCTCGTCCAGCTTTACCGATACCGCCCACAGCACTGTCAGACCCCGCTGGAAACTTAGGATCTCTGCGTAAGAAACGAAACTTCAAAGCTCTGCAGCTTCCTACCCCCCCTTCTCCGATATCCGCTGCACCTGCTGGTCCCTTACCACCTCTTCCAGGCGTCGCCCGAGGCCTTGTAGCCACTCGGAATGCGCCCAATCAGCCATTCAAACGCGGCCTCTCTATTGATGTCGACAATGCTCAGCCTCATAACACTGGTTTAGGTCTTTTTGGACGAGGAGCCGCGTTAGGCAGTGGCTTACCTCCGATCAGCGCTAGCGTTTTGATGACCCCAGAAAGCTCAACGACGCAAAGACTTAATTTACAAGCTACGCTCACGACGGCATTGGAACAGATGAGATTAAGCAGTAGAGGAAGTGGGAATAGCACAACTACGTTGAGCAGCAGTGGGCTTGCCACCGGGAGTAGCGGCGTGTCTTCCACTTCTTCAGTCACGACCGTAGACGGTGCCCCATCTGCGGAACTATATCGTAGCAAGGCTGAACGCGATAGGGAACTCATACAAGCGCCTCTGCAGGACTCTGACCTGAAGAACATTGCTGAGCTAGGTATGGGTAATGGAGGCAGCGTAATGAAGGTTGAACATGTGCCGAGTGGAGTCGTTATGGCAAAGAAGGTACAATCGAGCGCCTTGTTCTTGGAATAAACATACTGAAAACAATTTTTTAAATCAGATCGTTCTCATCGACGCAAAGCCTAGTGTCCGAAAACAAATTCTTCGCGAACTGCACATCATGCACCGGTGTAGCTCGCCGTTCATTGTCTCATTCTTTGGTGCATATCTGTCTGAGCCTAACATCTGCATTTGTATGGAGTACATGGACAAGGGATCCTTCGACTCCATCTACAAGACCATTGGCTCCAAAGGAAGACCAAACGAAGCAATAACAGGACCAATCCCCATAGGAATCGTCAGACAGCTTGCGAAACGGGTTTTAGGTGGTTTGGTCTACTTGAAGGACGAAATGGAGGTGTTACATCGGGATATTAAACCTAGTAATATTTTGTTGAACTCAGAAGGTGTGTGTTTGCGTGAATTTCTCATCCGACTGTTCGTAATCCTTGTTTTTTGATCCCAGGCGAAGTAAAGCTTTGTGATTTCGGTGTCAGCGGCGAGTTGGAAAATAATGTAGCGAAGACTTTCGTTGGAACTAGTGTGTATATGAGTGTAAGTTATCCGTCAATTTCTTCGTCTTTATTGTGATATTTCCCAGAAACTTTCAAGGTACTGATACGTCTTTCGTATTCACAGCCTGAACGTATCCAAGGTTCCGACTATTCCGTCAAATCCGATGTATGGAGTCTGGGAATAACGCTCATTGAACTTGCGCACGGATGTTTCCCGTTTGCGGATAGTGAGGTCGAGGAGGATACTCCAATAGACTTAAGTAAGTATATTTTCTTTCAAGGATGCTTTGTTGCTGTTTCCTCACGCTTATTTCCTCAGCCGCCCTCACCCCCATCTCCTCACTCCCATCCTCCCTACCAAGCGCTCAGAGACACTCTCGGCGTAAATCTCGTGGCGTCTCACTCCAAGGCGGAGTCGGTACTCTGTCTATACTCGAGTTAATGCACCACATCGTGCGTGAGCCTCCGCCAACGCTCATCACCCCTTCGGTACCTCACTCACTAGAATTCACGGAAGAAGCAGCGCAATTTGTTGTTCATTGCCTGAAGAAGGACCCTGGAGAGCGGATGAACCCTAGGGATCTATTAGAAATGGGTTGGATGGATGATACTGGGAGAGGAGAGGAGATGACTCTAAGGATGTGGGCGGGGACACTGTAGAAAGAATGCATGGCCGTGATCATGTGATCATTCGCCCATTCCTGAAAGCTGTCTTACGTTCGGTGGAAGAAGGCAGACACCAGAGCGACTCCCTGTTTCAGGGCGGCACACAAGCTGCAGCCGGGCCAAGACTTTCGCATCTCTGTCCTGCTGTCGAACTCATCGAGCTTTCGATTGTAGACGGAGATGAAGAGACCCCTTTGGGTCGGTGGGTTATCTATTCATGAATCAATATCAATATACCCAAGGATTTATCTGTTTGACGACTTGCAGCCATTTCTTCCACCTTTTGCAGGTCCATATAGATGACTAATGAGACTAAATGGAAGCTTCACAGCCTGGAACTTGAGTGGATGATTCCTTTGAGGCGCCTGGCGTTTCCGGTCCGAGTCCTTAATTCAAGCAAATGACTTTAGGGATTGTCCACATACTCTGTCTCGTTGACAACTTCCTGAGTACGACAGTACTGATTGGGGAAAAGTAACATGTCCCCACCTGTTCGATATCGAGCAAGGAGAGCAAAGAGAACCGAAAATCGGTCAAGGTAATGAACGGATCCAGAATGTGCTGGGTCTACAATCTTTTCAGCGAAGAAACTTCGAAGCAGGCCAACCCACTTCAAGAGTACCGGAAATACCAAAGGCATTCCATGGCTTTTATGTGAGCCTGTAGTCTCCTAGCTACCTGCTCAGTCTCTATAATCTGAGGTGCAAGGAATGATGCACTGGGGTCGAGTGTTTCCTAACAGGTGACTAGAACGTCGCAGCAAGAAAGGTGACAATGATTTCAAGTCGGCATGTTTCTCCGCCTCTTTATCGCATTGGACTACACCGGAGAAGCAGAGTCAGATACCAACCCCGACTGTCTATGTCATTTGGCAAGTCTCCCCGACCGTCCCGGCCTGTGATATAGAGTGTACTATATCAGTACCATAACATGCAAACAGACCGTGAAGAAATATTAAGAATTTTTGGTGCTTGATAATCTGAATGAATTTGTACCAAAGCTCAATATAAAATCAACCTTTTGGTTGCGTGAAAATCAGCTCATCCCCACATTGTATACATAATTGTATGACAGTGGTAAGGCTGCAAGCGGCGCATGCCAAACACAGCACCTTCAATCACAGAAACAACATACAGTATGAATTTATCTATCTACAGTAAGTAAAACAAAAATTCCCAGAGAAACAAAAAGTCCCTTTGGCTTCTGATGCCTTTGGTGCAGAGTTTGACCCATTATGAGGATTATGCCTGTTCCACTTTTTGCTGCCTGTTAAGATCATGTACACCGCGTAACCGTGCCAGGGCCACAAGGTGTCTAAGGGTGGAAGGTCGAGTGGGACAGTAGTGAAGTTATTAACAACACCGCCGTGTTAGAATATAATCACGTTATATTCGGCAGCAATGGCAGTAATACTTAGAGTGCACACAGCACTATAGGTGATCACACAGATCAGACGATAAAAGGATAGAGAGGACTGCCTATTCAAGAAGGGTGAATACTACAGGTTTATATACAAGTCCAAGGTAGACAATGTCATGTTACAGCTAAACATAGCGAGAGAGAAAGGAAGTACAATACGATGTATCCTACTGGTAGTCCTATAGTAATAGTACACAATAGTGAGATAGATAACATGGTAGTGAGCTAGATAACATGGTAGTGAGATGTTAAGATCATGTACACCGTGTAACCATGCCAGAGGTCACAGAGTGTCTACTTGTGGTAGTATGGTATATGGTCCCTTCAACTTATTATACTGATTCAGTATTGACTTTGACTGTCAATCTGGGTCTCAATTACAGTCCTCTCGATACAAATCTATACGTGAAAATGTCACAATTCACAGCATAGATGTCTAGCCAAAATTTAGGCGTGTCACCGCCGTTACGCTGTTAGTCCCCGGAGATCGAGAGTAGAGAAGGGAGGAGCTAAGTAGCAGCCAGGTCGGAGTGGCAGTAACGCCAGTGACAAGGAGCGAGCCAAGGAACTTATAAGTCCAAAGGCTATAGAGAGAGTACTTCAAGGCGATGAGCCTGAAGACTTAGAGAAGAGCTAGGTTGAGAAGGGAGATCTAAGTTGATAATTAAACTGAGGAACTACAGTAGCGTACAAGCAGTATTTATATCTACGGAGCGGCGCAATGGTGCGGAGCGCCAGACTAACTACTAGGAGTTATACGTGTAGTCCTGCAGGGTAAAGTAAAAGACAATAAGGAGGGACTAGAATGAAAGGGTATGTGTAGCGAGAAAGAACAATAAGGAAAGATTACAATAAAAGGCAGATCTTTGGGATACCGAGCGGCGAAATGGAGGCCCGAGGCATGGGCTTGACAGTATCCCCCTCTTAGGCTTGAGCCCTCGAAAGCCATTAATACCAGGAGTTGATTAGTCACCAAGGAAAATTTTAAAGGCTGTAAGCATCGGGAATTTGTCCTATCAGTCAGCAGGAAAATTTTCATAAGCCGTTAGTACCAGGAATTATCGTTAGTCATCCAAGAAAATTTCCGGTGCACCGTAAACCAAGTACAATTCGAAGAAAAATTTTCGCTGGTCCGTGCGCAGTTTTGCCCTATAAGAAGGGCCAGGTTTTGCCGATGAGGACCCGACTTTCCAAAACTTCTAAGTCTACCCAAAATGTCGACAAGCCGAACAACCACCCAGACCACCCCTACCGTCGGCTCAATTCCAGTCACCGGCGGCCATCCATCTCTGCCCCCGGCCCCAACTTGCCCTTCAACGCTGGATCCTTCTGACGAGGAGCGGGAGCTCGAGCTCCAGTTACAACTCACCAGGGAGAGGAACCGAAAGAGGAAGGAGGAAAAGAAGAAGGCTGAGGAAGAGGCCAAACGGAAGGCAGAGGAGGAGCGAGTGAGATAGGAGGCTGCCGTTTGGGCCGCGACTGCCAGGAGGGTGGAGGAAGAGGCAGCAGAGAAGAGAAGGAGGATCGCAGCAGCGGCGGCGGCTCGGAACCGTCAGGGGCCCTCACCAGGTGAGGCTACTACTTCTGCTCGGAGAGTGGAGGTAGAGATCCCTCGGGTGGTGAAAAAGGGGAAGGCTCCCCAGAGGAACGAGGTGAGTAACCAATTCTGTAGGAGATAACTGATTACTGATTTTTTTTTCCTTTTGTTACTAGGCCAGCGGCGGGGACCCGCATGACGGCGATGATGGCGAAAACGACGATGAAGACAACGAGGAGCGAGCACCTTGCGAGCGGTGCTACAGCAAGAAGATCCCTTGCCTGGAGCAGGTAGGGAAGAGGAGCACCGTGATATGTAAACCATGTCACAATGCGAAGGTAAAATGCTCGTACTCGGGCCGGCCGGTGCAGGCGAGAAGGGAAGGGGGACCGAGCGGGGAGCGAATGGCGGTCATGAAGAGTCAAATGGCCCAGCTCCTTGCTGACAACCGGGCCTTGAGGGAAGCCACCTCAAGGTCACACCAATACCTACGACAGCTCCTGCGGCAACATGATGAAGACCATGCCCGGCTCATCGCCATCGACACCCGGAACGCCATGATAGGACCGGCGACACCAGGGCCATCGAGATCGGTTTCCGATTGGCTGAGAAACTTGAAGAGGAGAAGGATAGTAGAGAACAGCGAGGAAGAAGAAGAGGGAGAGAAGGAGGAAGAGACGATAGTGGAGGAAGAGAAAGAAGGAGGGGAGGCGCCGGCGCTGAAGAAGGCGAAGACGGTGGCCTCAGCGAAAGGGAAGGAGAAGGAGGTGGAGTAGTAGAATATCGGACATTGGACATTGGACATCGGCACTCCAGCCTCTTCTTGTAGTCTTCTTGTGGTCTCCTGTCTCCTGTTGTATGAATTTTTTCTTCTGGTTTTTTTTTGTTTGTATATAAAAAAATGTTATCGCGTTTAAAATCGGAAAGCGAATGGGCCGCAAAGCGGCGTAAGAAGTAATTAGTTTAGTATAAGTAGTATAAGTGTGATTGAAGAATAAGTGGAAAGGTAACTAAAGAAACCAAAATAAGCAATTAAGAAAGAGAGATAAACACTCAATTTGCTATCATCGTGTTTATCCTCTAAACGCACAAAGTGAACTTCGGCGGAGCATGGCGGAAACGGGGAAAAAGGAATAAAATGTTTTTTGTGATCAAGGTCCAGGCTTGTGAGGGTATTGGGCGTGGAATGCCGGTACAAGTTCATCAGCATGTAATTCATCAGCAGCAACCCAGGAGAATTCATCGTCGGTACCTTCGTAACTGGCCCACCGAATGTAATAACGCAGAGGACAACGCTTATACCTTCTGTCCAGTTTGGAGTCAAGGATTTCAGCAACGTTGTACTCCTCTTCACCATCAACTTCAATTGGAGGTGGAGGAGATTGAGTATGATTCGGGAACGGGTTCGGCGTAACCGGTTCCATTCCAGCTGTGATACATGGAAGACCGGATGGATGCAGCGAAGGTAGTCCGGGAGCTTGAGCTCATAAGACAGAGTACCAGGTCGACTGATGACCTTGAAAGGACCAAGATATTTTTCTGAGAATTTTTCAGTAGGACGAGTAGAGCGAATGTGCTTAGCAAGAACAAATACTTCGGAGCCGATCGGGAACTCCGGGTGCAAGATTCTTTTCCTGTCAGCTTGTTCCTTGTAACGAGACTGAGCTAAAAGGATTTCCTCTCAAAGGAAAGCGTGGAGTTCATCGAGATTGACGACGAAGTCTCTGGCTAGGTCAGACTTCATATCGGCCTCGGGCCGAACGGTGATGTTTGGGTGGTATCCTTTGTTAGCAAAGAATGGAGTAATACCAGTGGAAGCATTAGGAGCGTTGTTATAGGCGAACTCGGCGATCGGAAGTAGAGGCGACCAGTCATCCTGTTGATAGGAGCAGTAGATCCTGATGTACTGTTCGAGAGTCTGATTGACGCGCTCGGTCTGCCCATCAGCTTCCGGATGATATCCAGAGGTGTAATGAAGTTCCATAGAGAGCGCTTTACCGAGAGCCCGGAAAAACGCCGAAACAAATTCAGAACCACG